ATGGGCTGAATTGCACATAACGCATGATCGCACCGGCTAGTCTGGTGCGCGTTGCCATTTATTTTCATTTGGGATGCTGTTGTGCGTTCTTCTGAGTCATTTTGCCTTGGGTATGTACAACTAAAAAGATTTAGGCTTTGTTACCTCAGTTTTGTGGGTTGAAGTTGAAAATACACGTGTCTAGAACTCTGGATCCAAATACTGACGAATATTATAACTCAAAAGCTGGAAAAACTGCAAGATCGGAGCTCTTGCTTTGGATCACCTTACTTTTATTTAAACCCTAATGTGGGCTTTCAGCCTTTGTTATGCGTTTTTTGCAGCTATGCAACGCAGAAAACGCATATTGACGAGGTTGTCTCTGTGTGTGTGTGTCTCTATGTTCGTCTGTACCGATTTTTCATCTCGAGACCTACAAAAGCTACAGAGCTGAAACTTTGGAAGCTTAATTTACATGGATGTATGGGCCCCAACCCCAAAATGGGCGGTCTTGCCCGCGTGGTACCCACGTACGAGCCTGTAAAAGTTTTTTACAGGTAAGTCGTTAATTCACAAACCAGAAAAGCTAGCAAGCTGAAATTTTAAGGGAATATTTCCGGTCCATGTAAGTCTCATTCAGCTCAAATCCAGCCCTCGGGTGTGCGTGGTACCACTTACGGGCCTGCCAAATTTTTTTTCGGGTAACTTGATAATTCGGAGATCTGAGAAGCTGGAAAGCCAAAATCTCAAGGGGTGTTCTCCGTCCAAGTAGATATTAATGAGCTCAGACCCAGCTCGCAGGTAAGCGTGGTACCTACGTGCAGACCCATGAAATTTAATTTGGGGTAAGTTGCTAACTCGGGAACATGAGAAGCTAGGAGACTGGAATTTTGAAGGGATGTTTCGCGACAGTCTGGTGGCCAGTCTGAAATTCTTTTAGCTAGAAACATCTGCTGGAAAACCAAGTGCCGATAGTAACAAAAATCTGCGGGGGCGCTATGCAAAAAACGCACCTTCGCATGGGCAGCCCGTGCGTTGGCTAATTATTTACTCTGAACTCTGAATACAGATTCTGATGGAGCGGCAAGAAGGTGGTGGCACCCAACACATCAGTAATATCCAAAATGGCTAAAACTTTGAACTGTTGAGCTAGTAATCCTTTTATGGGACGAAGCGAACGTCAGGATTGCCAGCCAGCTGGCCATCAAGCAATGTAGCAGTTCGTTGCACAGCTGGGGAAAGTACAGCTGATCGAAGTATTGGAGGTGCTTCATTGTGTGTATTGGCATGCCCACAAGGCTAATTGCAGAAATTGTTTTACTGTAGTTGCTGGATGTAGTACTTGCCGACGGTTAATTAGGTTAGCACTAAATTTACTGGGCAGTGCATAAGTACATCATAACGCAGTTTTCAAAGTGCACGAAATCTTGATGCTTTCAGGAGCAAAGTAATGAATGAATAATGGACTTTCGAGGATATTCTCTGCTTCAGTTTTGTATGTTATTGCTGCTGTTAGTGGAAGAATGTGGATCAAAACGAGGTGGCGTGTTCAGCGGCGGTCGCGGCTCCTCATCTAGCCGTTCTGGCGGCTTATTTGGCGGTACACAGCGAAGTGGTGGTGGACTTTTCGGCTCGTCGAGAAATGCACCTCGTCCTGGTAGTTATCCACGCAGTAGTGGCGGACATTATGGCGGCGTGCCAGCAAGCGGTGGTAACTGGGGCTCACGTACACGCAGTGGCACTGGCGGAATAGGGGGCGGCTGGGGCAGCAGCGCGCGTGGCTCGTCCTGGGGACGACCCCGTAGTGGCGGCTTGTAAGTTCGGATTATTTGTTGTTGGCTAATTTTCCTGTATTTTTTTTTTCATGTAAGTTTTTTTCACGTTCAGGCGTACGTCCAAATTTTTGGATAAACTGATAGATAATAATGTGAAATTTATCCGCAGTAATTATCAGTCCGTTCAATTTTCGATGGTAGATTTGTACTGGCGCGTGTCGAAGAATCAAAATCGATATCAGCTTGCTTCTAGGCAATCCTCAGCAGAGCAATCCTTGCCCTCTGGTGATTGCTGTTGATATTCACTACCAGTTAGGCTATTTCCGAATTCCCCTGTCTCTAATAAAGACCTAATATGAAGGAGGATTTTGGCTCTTCACGTAAATGAGATCGAAATACTGACCCAGGACAATGCGTGTAATGATACCGCATAAAATTATTTTCATATTGGTAAATCATTTGATTATTTCCGTGCAATTACTTTATATTAATTTTAATTATGCATTTCGCAGCTACGTTTACGGAGACTAAAAAAATACTCAAAATCAAATCTCTTCACATATCATATCTAAAAAACTCCGACACACAACAGACATATTTAGCAGAGTCTATAATAGATCACTGTCCAAAAATTCCCTCGGAAAAAGTGATAACGTTTGTGGACCAAATTACCATCGAAATGTACGAATGAATTGTTGAAAGACTGGTTTTCTGGATGTTTCCATCTAGAAGTCAAAATGCAAAAAACATTTTAGTATTTTCAATTACATTCTTCGCTTTTAAGCTTATTACAAACTTAAATTTTTACTTTTTGACTTAAAACGGGTTTTTCTGATATTTTTTCATTTCTTGAAACTTTCCAGATTCACCAAGTCAAACATTGGTTCTTTCGTGGCCGGTGCTGCAGCGGGCTACCTCACTTACAAAGCCGGCAAAGCTCTTATACGCAGTGCATATGCACCGATGATGTTCGTTGACTTTTTTATAATTTTGCTTAAAACTTTTAAATTTATATGCTTATCGGAAAAGCCTCAGCTGAAACTGCTGCCGTAAAATCAACTTAAGTACTTGCATATATTATACATACATACAAGTACTTAAGTCGATTTTGTATATACGCATATACGTGTACAAGTATGTACATATATATATGTATATATATACATACATATATATATATATATA